CAATGTAAAATTGTTTTTTGAGTAAATTTAAATAGCTGCTAGAAATACTACTTAGATACTGCTTAGAAGCAGTATAAAAATTCTCTCAGTTCACATGCAGATAAAGAAATGATTAGCAATAAACGTTCATTAAATAAAAAACCTGCAAATAAAAATTGAAAAAAACCCACGGAACTTTATGTTAAAAGAGTAGCACATTTTATCTATTATTTTAAAATTGAATAAGTATTATTAAATTTTTTAATGGTTCAGTCTAAAATGCATAAAGCAGTAACATTGTCTCTTCCAATTTATAGCTATCTTTCACACACAGCTCATTTCAAACGCTGGTTCAAAATCGCTAATTTTCAAGCTGTGAATTGCATCTGCGCGCTCAGTGTCATCATGACTACGTCATCACTTCTCACTTTCTGCTTCAGAGGGAAAAACTCTATGAGCTAGCCCTTCTCTTCTAAGTCCTGAGCTAGGGTTTTCAGCGCCCAGGGACAACTGAAGATTTCGCGCGCCCTACTGCTTGCCAAGGATAGAAAACATTTAATTCTAAAATGTTGTAACATCAGTTTGACGCCCCTTGGATTCTAATTGTAACTAATTGTTGCCCCGCCGCCGCTTGCCCCCCTCTAGCTACGCCCCTGTTTAGGATAGGAAGTACGTGAGAGGAGGGGTCAGAGGTTGCCACTTAAGTCATCTGGGTTTGGCGATCGGGGTGGAGGGTCCAGTCTTTGGCTAAGTGAAGAGGGGCGCGCATGTGTGGGGGCAACCCTTATTTTTGTCATTTAGGGGTTGAGACGTAGATTTTAGTCCCAAATAGGGGGCGATAAATGAAGCCGTTATGGGAGCCCGTGTTTATGAAGGAGACGAAGAAGAATTCGAGTTTGAATCACTTTTTGACTAAGACTTGGACTTTGAACTTGCTCTTGGGATGAACGGTAAAAAAAAAAAAAAAAAAAAAAGAACAAAATGTAGAGGCCTGCTAGATTTGCTTCCTGCGGGGAGCGGCAAATATGCTCCCCGGCCGCGCGTCTCGCTAAAATGCGAGAATGAAAGGTAAATGAACGAATTCTCCTGGAAAATGAAAGATCTGAATTATAGACTGTAGTCTTGTATTTTTTCAGTTTTGATCTGGTGGAATTAGACATGTATTACGGGAGGTCATCTGCAAAAGGAGCAGGGAGCGACTAATATTCTCTCGCCAGCTTGTGTGAACTAAATTTTCGTTTCCTGTTGTTGAAACGAACTTGAAATCATCGTGAACTTCTTTTTTTCAATATCGTAGAAGAATGAAAGTCTGCTCCAGCGTTCCGTTGGTTTCTTAACTTAATAGCTACCTTTTCCCCAGAGATGTGACTTCCAGTGTGGAAAATTTTCCTCGATGGAAAAATCAGTTACCCGGCCGCGTGTTTCGCCAAAAATGCGAGAAATGAACTATGCAAAGCCAGGAAGATGTCCTCTGAACATCGAAGGGCAACCGATGGAAGGAATTTGTTTAGCGTGGACTGATGAAAAACCTGCTTTAGCCGTTCTCTAAAATGCCTAGCTTTATTGTCTACGTTTTCCTTGGTGGAGCTGAGAGTCTAGGCCGACAGCCGTGCGATGCAAGCTGTTCTCTTGTTTCCAGTGTGAAAACGTTTCTGCCACGGACACTAGTTGCAGGCGTTCACATCGTTTTAGTTTTCTTCCAAGGGATGTGGTTATTCCGTGAAAGCGAGGTCGCACCAGTCTTTCCAAGGCCCTTTTCAAGTCTTCTAAATAACAGATAATTTATTATTATTATTATTATTATTATTTATTGTTATCAATTTTTTCTATGAACTTTTAGGAATTTGGACTTCATACTTAAATTGAATCTCTAAATTAATCCTAAATGGTTGAAAATTGTCTCCCCTTTCCCCTTCTTAATTGACCGAGACAAACAGGAAAATCTTAAGTTAATTGTGCTGTAAAAATATAGTTTGTTTCTTGTGAAATCATCCTTAGTATAGATGTTGAATTTCAGATAATGTGGTTTTTTTTTCCATCCTAGGATGTACTGCAGTAGTTCTGGTTAAAGTTAAATTTAATGGGTCATAAAGTGAATTCTGAGACTAATTTCATTAAGTTAATTGAAAAAAAAATGAAATTTGTAAATCCTTGATTTAAATGTGTAAATGATATAAATTGATTAGTTCACATGTGTAACTGAAATAAGAAAATTGAGTATCGATTACCAAGAATGTGAAATTTAATTTTAATTGTTGAGGAATTTGAATAAACATGTATTTTAATCTGGAAATCTTTTTTCATTGTTTTCCTTATATCTATTTATGTGTTTCCTTATATGTATATTGCGTTTTACCTCTTGTTTATCCGAGCCTCTCACGGCACGGTCCCGGATGCATTTACACAACGCAATGCAGATAATTTCACTTGTACGATCACGAAAAATATTGAAATTAACTAACTCTTAAGAGTTTGTTTTCAGTTTGGTAGTTAGTTAATTACGGCTTCACCAGTGTCTGTTTCTGTATCGGTGTTTACTTTTAGATGTCGATATGGAAACAGAACAAAACAATTGGTTATTAACAGATCAAAAACACCTTGCTCATTTAAAGGAATAACCTTCCCGTTTATTGGATGGCTAATAAAAAAGCGTGATCATATCAAAGTCACTGCCATAGCTTTCAATGAATGGTTTTATAACATGTTTGCTCCAAATGTCAAAAATTATTTAAATAGAAAGGGATTGCCTTTTAAGGCTCTTCTATTAATTGATAATGCATCTGTCATACTCAATATTTACAACACGAAAATGAAAAATCTTTTTACCAAAGAATGCAACTTTCTTATTACAGCCGTTAGATGAAGGAATAATTTCAACTTTTAAGGCATTGTATATCAAGCAAGCCTTCAGGTATATTTTAAAACAAATGGAGAATGATGAATCTCTTACTCTTATGGATGCTTGTAAGAAATTTACAATCTTACACAAAGAAATTTACAAGATTGTGTTTAGCATGTTGGACTGTCATATACTGAGATTAAACAATCAACGCTGAACGCATGCTGGAAATCAATATGGCTGGATGCTGCTAAAGATGAGAAAGATAGATTACCTTTAGAGCATGAATATTCTCAGATCACTAAATTGGCCCAAACTATAGGAGGAGAAGGTTTTGGGAATTTAGCTCAGGCAGATATTAAAGAAATAATGGCTAATAAAGAACTAAACGAGGATGAGTTAGTTAATATGATTCATAAAACCAGTAAACATGATGAAGACATTAATTCTGATGAAGAGCAATCTGAACCAGTTGCGTTCACAGTAAGAGTCATTAGCGTAGGACTTGAATTGGAAAGAAAATTAGGTAATGATTCTTTACAATATGACACGAATGTTGAACGAGCTCTCGGATTCCAACGGGAGCTTAGTAAGTGCTTAAATCAATATGAGGCTGTTTACAAAGATTAGGAAAAAGAACCTAGGCAATTGTTAATTACGGATTTCACTACTCAAGTCTTGTCGATCCGAGATTTCCCGAATTCGTCAACCATGAAGCAGAATCTCATCAAGAACGCTCAAATGATGAAAGTGACATCATACCAATTAAGAAGAAAAGAATAATTTTTTGAAATAATAATTTTTTGAAATAAATAATTTTTTGAATAATTTGATTTTTTGTTCATGAAATAATTTTTTGAATGATCGTATATTTTCCTAATGTAAAATAAATTAAATATGTATTTCTATTAGCTGCATATATTTGTTATTTTAGGAACGAAATATAACTTTATTTATTGTAAGGTGTCTTACTTCTGTTTTCTGTAATTAAATAACTAAATTATGCACATTTAACGTGTTTTTCGTTTTACACGGTTTTACATAGCAAAATCCAAGATTTCGGTTTACAGCGATTTCCGTACGATTTTGTATGGAACCGATCTACCGTGTAAATCGAGGGATAGGTGTATTATAAAAAAATCTTCACTAAAATATGTGTTACAGTATGCTGTCAAAAATCATCAAAATATAAATGCATTAGAAAGTTTATAGCTGATTAAAATTATTTTTATTATTTTAAATCTTCCACAGGCTACAGAAAGGAATTTATGAACATGATGCTGGCTACGAAACTGATTTAAATTCATTTCCGATCAGCTGAATGTCATTATGCATTTTGATCACTGGGCAAGTTTCAGTTGCTATTAAAAAAACAGTATTTTTGAAATTAAAAGCAATTAGATATGGCTTAAGAAAAAGCTAAAGAATTTAAAAAAAAATATTAAATAATTTGCAATCTCAAAATTTCAGATTACAGTTACAAATCTGAAAATCACAGACCTTGAAGGATTTATCATTAAAGTTCAAAAATTTAAATAAAGACATTTACAAAATGTAAACAACACAGGATTATAGATTGTTCTTGACATGCAGGTTTTACCTTCATGCCTAAAACAATTTTAAGTTAGGTAGATGTACTAGACCTGATAGTTTAAAAGTTAATTGCCCAGCAGTTAATGCTATAGAATATAAAATATTATATCTAAAATGAGCTGTTTGTTTAACAATATTAGATAATCTGTGGTGTTATTTAGTCATAAATCAATAAGACCTGGAGACGTATGCCTTTATTTCATAAAGATTTGATTATTCAATACATTTATTACTGCACTAGATCGCTTACGAACTAGTCTTCTAACGTGTCGAATGGCAATATTTTCCATTTTGCCAGGACATAAAATCCGCAAACTGAAAACAGTAATTCTTTGAAGCAATTTTCTTATGGAAGCGTTTAATAAAATAAATCAAAATTAGTAAGGAAAGTAATATCATTCCTAATGGAATCACAGTTTCTGTAAGAGTTAAATGTGTTCATAAAAAAAGTTACTTGAAAAAGCTAACTAAAATACACAAATTTAATTAACTTTCCAATTATGTTCTTTAGTTTTATTTTAATCAGAATTACTTATTTTTTATGGTTTTATTTTTTAATTCCTTGATTAACTTATTTGAATTTTAACAGGTACGTTTATTTTGGAGATCTAATCAATTACACTGCGACTGGCCTTCAACAAGCTTGGCAAGCATCAGTGAAATTCGGTATAAAACCATTAGAAGATCTGTCCTTTTCAAATTTACAACAAATTCACATCAACGCAGAAAATGTGTGTGAAGTTCTGGAAACTGCGCTCTTTATGAGACAAGAAGAAACTCGACAGAAATGTCTGAAGATCGTAGCTAAAGATACCGAAGCAGTCTTGAATTCTGTTTCTTTTATGCACTCTAATTTTGAGACAGCACTTTGTATATTCCAACTGCGTGATATGAACATCAGTAGCGAAGCTTATCTTTTGCGCGCTGCAATTGAATGGCTTCAGCGGAACGACTATAATCAAAATTCCGTCGAGAGAGAAAGATTGCTTTCCGCCATAGAAATAATGTGCTTACAAAGAGATGAGTTTCTGGAAGTCGTGAAAACTTTCCCATCCTTTTTCAGTGACTGTGAAATAACAAGCATTATTTTAAATATTCTAAATTGTAACGCTCGAGAATTACCAAATTTTTGCAAGATTAAAAACATCAAAAGAAGAACTGCAAATTCCGAGTTTAAGCCTTACACACCAGAATTTAATGAAAATACCACACAAACAACAATTTGTACAACGGAAAATACTGCGCAAACATCAGTTCTTACAAGAGAAAGAGGCACGCAATCATCATTTCCTGCTAGTAAAAATGATAGTCAAACATCTACTCATGCAAGAGACACCACCTCGCAAACAACAAAGCTTGAAAAGCAAATCTCAAGACAAACTGCCAACCGTACAAGGAAAGCATCCACACAAACTTTAAGTTTTGCAAGTGAAAGCGCTACACAAACAACAGATCTTGTAAGTAAAAATCTCTTTGCAAATGAAAGTGTTATGTAATTTTTTTGTAATGTCAAATCCAAGTATTGGTAACCCTCTCTATACAAAAGTTCACTTTTACGATAGCCAAGTAGCCACTTCTCGGTCACCGAAAAAGTTACTATAGTATACCTTTTCTGAGAACTCAGAGAAACCCCAAGAGTATTTTCGCGTTACGGAAAAAAGGATTAAGATTATGTAAATTACGAGAATGAATGCGAGAGCTATGCGCCAGAGCAGAGGGATCCCTCTATAGATTACATTTTAAGGGAGCTGACTCGTATTCATGTTATACGTGACGAAACGCATTTTGTTATAAATTTTGCAATACTAAAATATAACTTTAATTTTCGCTCTCACCTGTCTATACTTAAAGAACTAACTCACTTGTGAAAAGAAATTCCTGTGAAAAATCCGTATCCTTTCATACACAGCTTTCGTCGAGAGTTTGTAGGGTTCTGCTCTAAGCTTGTCTCATTGTTCTGCAGACTCTACTAGATTGGAAGAGTTATCGCTTTAGTCTGAACTGACAAAGACATAAGAAGGTTAAAATAACCTTATTATTTAACTTTTAACAGTTGAACCTCTGCCACTTGCGTCAGAGCCTAATTAAGAGCTTCAGAGGCCTTAAGCACTTAAAAGATTATGGTGCCCCATCATATGTTTTTCTTCATTCCTTTTTTCTTGGTTTTGGTTTAACTGCACCATGCATTCCATGGTAAAACCGGCAATGGGAAATATTTTGGTGCCCTTTTTTTTTTTCTGAACACCCTCAGACCTTTGTTTTTTCGTGGTGCCCCCTTTCCTTGATGCCCTAAGCACGTGCTTATACACTCATTTGCAAAACATCGAAGCACCAAGAAGGACTTTTGCGATCGTGACGAAATTTGGTATGCAAAAGCATCTTGATCGAACATGCAAATGATCAAAATTTCAAGGCAAATGAACAGGAATTGTGATCATAGCACGCATTTCTAGTTTGCAATTCGCAAAGTATAAAACCAGTAACAGAGGAGGAAAATTTATCTTTTTTTCGTTGCTGCCATTGTAATTCCGTAAAGAAGCAACTAAAGATGCCATTACGACGATATCGAAGACTTTACAGACAACTAAACGACTTCGAACGTAGTCGTATTGTAGGGTTGCGTGAAGCTGGCTGGTCATACTGAGTAATAGGCCGCCACCTGCAGTGTACAGACACTGCAGTGCAAAGATTTTGGCAGCAATGCTTGCTACAAGGAAATTGCCGACGAAATGAAGGCTCTGGAAGGCCAAGGAGCACAAATACGAGGCAAGATGATTCTTCGCCAGATCCGAACCGCCCAACGGTATCATTGTCGACTATTCAACGCACTACAACCACGTCTCTACCTCCTATGGTACCGTCCACCATCTCACGGCGCTTGTCTGAGGCGGGTTACGCTCACAGTGGCCTTTAAGACGTTTGGCTTTGACCCCAAAACATCGGCGGTGTCGTCTGGAGTGGTGTCGCAGCCGATCATCATGGCTGCCGTCAGATTGGCATCGTATAGTGTTCAGCGATGAATTCCGCTTCACTCTTGAAGCAAATGACCACCGTGTTCGCGTCTGGAGAGGACGGTGCCAGCTGTCCCAATCAGCCTTTGTTTTACAAAGGCATACAGCCATAACCCCAGGTGTGATGGTGTAGGGCGCAATTTCTTATGACAGCAGATCATCTTTAGTCATCCTCCGTACGTCTTTAACAGCTCAACGATATATTGATACCATCCTGCGGCTGGTTGCATTACCCTGCATGGCACGTCATCCTGGGGCCATTTTCCAAGAAGATAATGCCAGGCCACATACCGCTCGCATATCTGTATGGTTGATACTCTTCCTTTGACAGCAAGTTCATCAGACCTTTCACCAATCGAACATGTCTGGGACATGGTAGGCCGCTAGATTCGGGCACCTCAAAATATCGCATATCTGAAGAGACAACTGATGAATGCCTGGCAGATTGACATTAGGAACCTCTACCACTCCTTGCCTCGACGAATTCAAGCATGCATTGTCGCCAGGAGCGGTTCGACCAACTACTAATTTGAACACTTAATGGGTGATTGTGATCCGTGAACAGGTACTATGACCTTGAGCTTTTTAATCATTTTATTATCCGTGTATGAACTATACACATATTCAGTTTCATCAAAAACAACCCTCTTCCTTCATGGTGCTTCGATTTTTTTGCAAAAGAGTGAGTTTTTGATGGATTTTTGATCCCTGATTAAATTAACATAAGGTATTAGTAGTCTGAGTCTACATAATAGATTAAGTAAGCTGGCTCGAGGTAATTAAGGTGCATATTTTAAAAGTCTGCTGGCAGGATGCTTTAAGCGGTAATAACTTTGGCAGAGTACGTAACAGCAAGGCGAGGCTGCCAGAATATCTAACCCTACAGCATTAAACTTTCGGCTTGAATAAAAACGACTAATTTGGATTCTGATGAAGACTACAGGAAGAATAAGTAAAGGTTCAGCTTATAATAACTGGTTAATTAACATAAAATCCTACAAGTTTAATGACTTTAATATGAAGTTGAGATAAAGAAATGTTTTTCCTCTAAGGTTTCACGTGCAATATTTCTTTCATGAGGCACAGTATTTTTACATGAAATTAATTTTTGATGATGTAGTTAACAGATCTCTTGCTGAACGCTTCCATTCCAATTGAAAACTTTTTATCGGCGAGATCTACTTGCAGTATTTATGAGTAAATACTTTAGTAGTACATCTTAGTAGTCCTTTAGATCAGTGCAAAGAGGTGATTGCTGCTGATGGTTTGATTATTTCGGATTGCTAATGATTTAGTTATCTTGAAACGATTAGGAAAACCAGATGTGTATTTGAAAATAATGCTCAAATCTGATGTTTGTTTGCTTCACATTTACAATACAAGATTTAGGGTTAGAAGGATATTATTGATTTTCATTAAAACAGTGCTACTCAAAATTTTTTATCCATTTTCCTTATTCATCACGTGTTAGAATATCATTCCACCTTCTCCAGGGTTGTTTGATTAAAGTAGTGCATCCTAAATAGCAGGTAAAAGTAAAATTAAAAACTTTTGTTTTAGTGTGCTGTATAAAGATGTATATACGAGCTTTATTATATTCCATAAATGTGTGATATTTATACCTTTGTTAACATATAAATTATTGTTGTAATTAATATGTGTAGTTAAGGAAATGTTCTGTTTTCCCTACTCTTCAATGATACAATAAACCTTTGTCGAACACGGAGGTTACGTCATTACCTACTGCAAAAGTAATTTTCTATTGAAAAAATGTGTTGAGCGCAATTCATATTAAGAAAATATGTGCTGTTGTAACTGAAAGGGGAAAACGGAACAAACTTTAATTGAAGGTTTTTTTTAACTGCAATTAACTTTTTTAAGCACTTGATACAATTATAATTTTCTTAGAAGTTTTTGATTTTAACTTGGGAAAATAATTCACGTAACTCTTTAAAAGTTTGGGGTTTGGGGTGCAAAATTTTCCAGTGCTTCATAAAGTGTACATCTCTTTCTTCATATACATCAGTTTCCTTTCATTCGAAACAGACAATTCCTATGCTTTTTAGACAATTCGTTTAACTTCTTGAAAGTTAAAGGTGCTTTTTCGTCTTTATTATCGCAGCTTTCACTGTCGGCTGTTTTATAAGAACATCCAGTTCGTCATTGCACACTTCCCTATTAATTCTTTGACTCCTCTCTCTTTCATATGTGAAAATTTTTCAAAGCCAACTGCATTTATACTCTAACAATTTCTTTGCCTTCATTTTCATTCGATGAAAATCCTTTAAAATTGTTGATAACTTCTGACCAGAACTGATATTAGCAAGCATTCAGTGTTGATGTACGAATGTTGAACGCCTATGAATGATATTCTTGCGTTGGGCGAATTGAATGGTAACAATTAAAATAAAGCGCATAGGCGAAATCGCGTCCGGCCAAGTACGCGATCGGCAAGGGTTAACTGTACTTTTTCATCCCTTTTTATATGATTTCAACTCCGCTTGAGTTTTACTGTGAACATTTTATTACAATTTAATTATTTGTTTACCTTACAGTGTTAGACAGTGTCTTTCCGGAGCAGTGAAATTTCCTCTGGAGGGGGATAGGATTCCGCAGTATTTAACAGTCGTTGCATTAGAAAGTAAAATTGCCTATGCCGATGTAGTCTGTCGTTTTCCTAGCTGTATGCTAGGTTACATTTGAGACCTCCTGAGTGGCATGACCATCTTTATCCCGAAGGTCGAAACTACCACCAGAGTCCCGAGCTTAAGAGAGCCCTGAGTGAGAAGAATACAAATGTATCGAATTTTTATATTGGATATTTTATTCTAAAAATCTAAATATTAGATTTCGCTAACGATATTTATATTTTCACTTTCTAATAATTTCTCTTCAAGCGGAGAAATGATCTAATTGGAGTTTATCTAAGTGTATTTAATAGATATCCAAGTTTATTTTAGTTAGTTTATTTATTTATTTCAAGAGATTAATAGTTATCTAAATTAATCTACGTTTATCTTAATTAATTATTTAATTTCTAGAGGAACATTGAGTATAAAAGGGAAATTTAAAGAATTTCTGCAAAGATTTTGCGTGATTTTCTCTTGTGACTGGTTTCTAACGATTTAAAAATAGCGAAGCAGTATGGGAACCAAAAGGCTCGCAGTTCAGCTTGTTCTCAATTGATAAAGTTTGAGATGCAAAATATCTTCGACATCGCGACAAAAGTTTTTTTTGTCAAGGCGCCTTGTGAACGAAATTGCCCTTATCTCGCCTTCTAATTGAGCTATTTTCACCATTCCAAAGCTATTACACTCAGAATTAAAAGATTTACAATTCTGTGCAGCAAATAAACAATGAAATAAAAAACCATTAATTAGATAAAAACCAAAATAACCATTCTAAAAACTATAAATAAATTAAAGAATATAAAATACTACAACAAT